ACATTGAACTGTTTACATATTCATTTGATTAATTGATTGTAGTATTGTACTCTGATTATGAGGCTTTGTCATTTGACAGATTTCAGTGGGGTGCTCGAGAAGGACCTCTCTGTGATGAGCCCATCAGAAATGTTAAATTCAAGATTGTTGACGCAAGGATTGCCCCTGAACCACTTCATCGGGGATCTGGCCAGATCATTCCCACAGCACGACGTGTGGCCTATTCAGCTTTCCTCATGGCTACCCCTCGGCTTATGGAACCTGTATATTATGTGGAGGTATATACTTGCTATTATGAACTGGGCATATCAATTTTGATTGTAATCATTTGTGGTTTTTGACATTTTGACCAGTTGATGATCATATGTGGACCTGCATACAAGCTAATAATGGATTAATCAAATATGTCTGGAATAGTATAATTTTATTGAAGCTAATAAAAATAATATATTTGAACTAATTTTAGACTGTTGTCAGGACAACAGTGTTACTATTTTGCTGATTCTTGCTTTGATGGTAATGTTATTCTTTTGGCCTTTGCATCAGATTCAAACACCTATAGATTGTGTATCTGCAATCTACACTGTATTATCTCGAAGGCGTGGACATGTTACTGCTGATGTTCCTCAGCCAGGCACCCCCGCTTATATTGTTAAGGTTGGTGACTAACTTTTACTTATGAACTGTTTTAATGAATATTGCTTCTTTAGACTGCATAAGATTGATTGTGTGTGCATCAGAAATTTGGTTTTCTGACTTTATTATTCCCAACTTATCTCAGGCATTTTTGCCTGTGATAGAATCTTTTGGATTTGAGACAGACTTGAGATATCATACGCAAGGTCAAGCATTTTGTCTGTCAGTTTTTGATCATTGGGCTATTGTTCCTGGAGATCCTCTGGACAAAAGCATTGTTTTGCGCCCACTTGAACCAGCACCTATCCAGCATCTTGCCCGTGAGTTTATGGTGAAAACAAGGCGTAGAAAGGTACAGGCTTTTCCTCGTGGGACAATAACATTCCACATTTATGTTGAAACCTTCGTAGTTGATGATAACCTGCTTCTATATCCTTTTGTGAAATAACTGCCTAATGCAAAACATTTAATGCATGTTGCTCTTACATTAAATCTCTCAGGGAATGAGTGAGGATGTAAGCATAAGTAAGTTCTTTGACGAGGCTATGATGGTGGAACTGGCACAGCAAGCAGCAGACCTTCATCAACAAATGATGTGATTCTGTATAAAAGCTTCTGTCCAATTTGATCTTCATTTTGAGTTTCCACCGTTAAGCTGTTCCCATTATATGTGGTGCAAGCAAAATTGAAAGTGCTTTGCCATGCGAGTTGGCAGTATTTGGCACAGCTATTTGAAATGCCGGTGCAAGCTCCTATGCCATTGAAATAGTAGTCTCTGCTACCTTCTCTCGTCAATGCGAAAAAGCTATAGATTCCAGACGGGGTGGCTTTTGTATCTATTATTGATCTTGTAGCAGTACTGACATCTTTTCTTTTATCTCTCTCCGCTCCTCCTAAATTGAGAGAATTGTACGAATTATTGTACTTTTTAACGCCTTCAGACTAAATAGGTTCAACAAAATTCCATTTGCAACCAAGTTTCTGCCAATAGTTATGCAAGTTAGTGAAACCACAAAACCTTTGATAGTATCGTCTGGGCCTCGATTTTATAGATGTAGGTAGACAGGTGTGTAACTGTGCAAGTGTCTTGTATTGATGGAGATTTGCTGAAAAGCTTTTATTGATGTTTATATTGCTTTCTCACTTTATTAGTCGATGGTGAAAACAAACGTATAAGCATGATTCGTTTCTAGTGGGTCAATTCAGCACTTTTTATTTATGCATGTATTTTACTGTTCACGACGTAGCCCCTTTTTACACACCTCCGATTGGAAAATAAGTCACCCACTTGAATGCCGTTTCCTCATATGATAGACATGTCATTTAGGGATGGCAAATAAACCTGTCCGAACCCGTCCTGACTTTGACGGGGAATATCCGTTTTGACCGGGTACGGGTTTGGGTATGGGTAAAACCTGATAAAAAAATCGGGTACGGGTACGGGGTCGGGTATATACTAACCCGCCCCGTACCCGTCCCCGTCCCCATTCCCGTTCCCGGTTAAATATCCATCCCCGGTTTAATTATTTTAAAAAAATTAACATTTTAAATATTATTGTAAAATCTAAACGTCACGATGAGCAAGCAAACACTTAGGTTAGGGTTTCAATTTTTCAAATCTGATTCGCAGTCCAGACAACAACCCCTTTCCGCTTCTCTCTCTTACTCTTCACATTCACAGTCACCTTCTCCCATTTCACCCCATCCGCCACCGTCGTCACCGTCGCACCTGACGCTTCCGGCGACATCGACTTCATCCGAGCAAGCTGCAACACCACGCTATACCCGGACCTCTGCCTCTCCTCCCTTTCACGCTTCGCCGTCGCGGTGCACCGCAGCCACGCTAGCCTCGCCCGTGTGGCCGTCGCCGTTGAGGCAGATCCTTGCAGTTTCAATTGGGGTTTTGCTTTTCGAATAGGATCCAGATTGTTGAATACTTCTAACTTTTATTTATTTGATTTTTAGTTTAACGAAAAACCTACCATGACATTTCCTCCTGTACCTATTTCTATATTATTTGCTTCTCAATGTTGTTTGTGTTCATGCCAATCTTATAGATTCAACAGAGAGATGCATTGGATAATTTAAATTTTTTTTTTTTTTTACGAGTACGGGTACGAGTACGGGTATACCTGATACCCGACGGGGACGGGAATGGGACAAAATTTACATACCCGACGGGTATGGGGACGGGGACGGGTATGGGTTTCAGTCGTGGGGACGGGGACGGGTATCATGAAACCCGTACCCGCCCGGCCCGTTGTCATCCCTAATGTCATTGCATGATTTTATGTTGACATTGATTTTGTATGTCACCTTAACTTGGTTTAGGAAACGGAGCGTTGTTATTGTTACGGAAAGTGATTTTTCCTTTTTTCGAGTCTAATTTTTTTAAGTCATGATGGAGCTGGAAGGCCTTGATAATCATGTCATGTAGTTTTCAACAATAAGACGAAAGAGCATTTTGGAAAAAAATTGCATGATTATAATAAAGCAAGTGGAATAGTATTTTCGTGCGTATTACGTTACCCATTTTTTTTGTCATTCGTTACTCAATAGAATTATACGGAATGTCACGCTTCAAAATGGTCTCGGAAATTTTCTACTCTTAACTATTATTTATGTTTACTTATGTTGATCAAATAAAACCATCAAGGGCAAATAGATAGAAGCTTACAAGTAAAATGCCTGTGTGATGTCCATGTACAATGGTCCATATGGTTGACAAGAAACCATTTGATATTTATAATAGGAGGGTGATTGGGTCTGAAATTGTGTATCTTATATAAAAAATTTAGTGTATGGTCATGGTTTAAATTGTCTTATATAAAAAATTTAGAGTATGGTCATGGTTTAAATTGAAAGCATTGGGTTTCACCTACTATTTTCCTAGCTCGTGTTGTAACTTGTAATCGTGGGGCTTCTCTTGATTTCTTTCAAACTGGTTTGGAATAATTTAGGTAGCCTAAATGGTAAATTGATAGTTACATGAGGAGTGTCATCTTCTGAGTCAAAACAATAGTACGGTTACTTCATTACATCTCACGCTCCAAATTTTTTATGATTTCATCATTCTCTTTTGGGCAAAAATCCGATAGAAAATATTTCAAAATTTGAATATATAAAAATAAAAAAAAAATTATAGTAAATTTTATCTGAAAGGAAAGAGAATTCAATACGTCTTGGTTGTGAAAATCTGAATAGGACAAACCGTCCATTAGATCTCTTTGCTTCAGAACAAAACAATTCGAATTAGACTCAGCGCTATAAATGTTTTAATAATATTTGCTTTGATGTTCATGAATGGTTTAGAATATTATCAAGATTTTCGTCCTTGGACCATTGGGAATGGAATTACTTTGATGGTTTGTACAAGTATTTTTGTTTCACTAATAATTACTATTCTAGATACATCATGGCACGGGATTATTTTGACAAAACCAAATCAGATTATAGAGCAAGATTTGATAAGTATTAGTCAACAAATTGGAATTCATTTATCAACTCCATAATTCTTTTAGTTGCTTTAATAGGTGCAATTGTCGTGGCTCGCCAATAATAAATTTTGAGAACTAATAATAAAAATTCAAATTTAGGTTACGGAAAGGAAAGGTTCCCATTTTTTAGGATACTATGGGGAACAAATATCTAGTGGAGATGACGGGGTGGGGCCTGTAGTTCAGAGGATTAGAGCACGTGGCTACGAACCACGGTGTCTGCTTCAGCGGCTGCAACAGCTATAACAAAAATTGAAAAAATATTTCCTTTTAATTGTCGACTATCAAAAAAATCAGAAAAGCTTACGAGATTTATATTAACTACATTCAGTATAAGTTCAAGACACATAAGAGCTCTAACCATATTACTGATAAAACAAATCAAAGTGTAATTTGCTTTATTTCGATTATACACAAATATTTCAATACTAGCAATATGTTAACCTCTGAATTTGAAATTACTGCTTATATACCCGGTATTGGCCATAATTTACAAAAACATTTTGTAGTCTTAGTAAGAGGAGGTCACCAAATTCTGAGGAGTTGGTATCAATTTATGTCTAATTGCTCCACATATACTTCCTCTAACCATATTTTCTAAACGAACCAGGGCCAATCCAAACTGATATTGTAATAGATTTGGCAGTAGGTATGGGGAAAGTGCAAGCAGCACACAGCAATTATAATACTTGTCTAACGTATTCGTGAAATTTTTATCATACGTGCTGTATCTTGATTCTTGACATTTATACTTAGCAGTTAAGTTCTTCCGGATTAAATGGTAACCTGGTGTAATCCTCATTTTGAGTACCTCATACTCGATCATTAATCAATCAGTTATTTGCTTTTCACGTACACAACAACGAAAAAAGTAAGAGCACAATGCTACGATGTTGTGTGCATAAATCACATTGTACAAGATATACATAATTCGTGTTTCTCAGTTTCCCAATAATAACAATGGGAAAAATAATTATACAACGGTATGAATTTTATTTGAATTTGCATGTGGGTGTGTTCCTTACTAAGGGATCAGAAACAAGAGGAGGCAGAAAGGCTTTTTCATTGAGATGGATGAATTTATGTACATAGTCTCAGCTCAAAAAATCATTTATCTTGCAGACAAGAATGTTCTATCCTTCTAGCAAGCATTTTAGATTTTGAAGTCCCTCAGCAGATATGCTTCTTCTGACTCTAGGCCTTTCTACAACAACAGGAGGTGGTGGTTCAGAATGGAAACATATCATCACCACTGTCAAGTTGTCCGTTGCACCTCTCTTTATTGCTTCCCCTATTATCTCCTTGCAACACTGCTTCACATCATTGTGCTCTTGAAGCCTCCTTCGAGCAAAGTCCACAGCATTTTGGCTGCGGAAAACATCCCATATTCCATCACTGCCAATTATCAAGAACTCATCTTCTTTGGTCAATGTCATCAATTTAAGCTCAGGCTCAGCACTCAATGGTCCACCCTTTCCATTCATTTCCTTCATTCCTTCAAGATGCCAGTCACCTAGAGCACGAGTCACGCCTAACTGGCCGTTCAGGTAACCATCGTCTACGTATCCACCAAGGGACTCAATCCTCATCCTTTCTTTAATGCACAATGGCCTATGATCTTTGGACATTTCTATGGCCCCTCCACCACGGGACAACACAGCACGGCAGTCTCCAGCATTGGCTACAAGTAAAGACCTGTATACAAGACAATGACATTCATTTAGAACACTGAAATAGCTTCATCAATTGTCCCTTTGATATAATTCAGCTAAATGCTATGATTCCAGATTCATACAATTTGCAAAATTGGTGGATATAAGGGAACAAAAACATCTTGAAAGGAAAGTCATTATATGTCTGGTTAAACTTAAAAATGTTCGAGAATTTCGCTAATAAAAATAAAGAGTCACTTCTGGTACAGAAAAAATACTTATAGCTTGTCCATACAGGCTCAATGTCATATTAATTCACAAATATGAGCTGTGAAAATTATAGCGCGGTTATAAAAGCCGAAGGACAGCGGAGACAAATGCTCACCTTCCAAATATAATTGCAGTCAGTGCAGTTGTACCAGAAGACTCGAGAGAACACGTCCTTGCAAACTCTGCATCAGTCTCCAAAAATGACCTTTTGACAACCTTCTCAAGTTCCAATGGAAAGTCTGCGTCCTCAACAATCACCCGAGGCAGATGATCACGAACAAATTGTGCGGCACTCTTCCCTCCGTGCCCATCAAATACCTGAACAAACCAGTTTCAATTTACACGTCAAATCCTGAATGCATTTCCACCCATTCAAAATGACTAAAAGATGTTTAGAGTTTGTTTAGATACAAACTAGAAGTTCTTTTAAAAGATTCTCTACTTAAAAAAACTCTTTATTTTTAGCAAAGAGACTCTCTAAAACTCTTCTAAGCTTGTACCTAAATAGACTTTTAGTCTTCTTTCACTTTGAATGAGTTTTCCTAGCTTATATATTTTGCTTTACCCACAAGTTTCAAGTCATTCTGCTATACAACTAAAACTCCTAAATGGGAGGAAGGGGGTGACAATAATGAAGACTCCATGATCTCACCTTTAAGAAAGTTCAAACAAGGAAACATTCCCAACACAACAAGATGCTTGACCTCTCGTTTAGTTGAAATCATATAAAAAATGCACATACATAGAGTTACACCCTTAATAACCCAAGATTACTCTCCCTTTTATGTGCAATGACTATTTACTGTCTGTTTACATAATACTATAAGATATTATAAAATCCAATAATTTCGATATTGACAATGAGATCATAAAATTTGGTAAGTGAGATTTCACTTGCCAAATTTTTTGATTAGTTGTTATTTACTGATGTCGATATTATTGAAAAATACAATATCTAATAGTATTAAGTAAATAAACAATAATTAGTCGCCACATTTTTTTGAGTTGCACATGAAAGGAGAGTAATCTTAGATTATTAAGGGTGTTAGTTGATATATGTGCATTTTTATTAATTTGTTTGCTAAATTTTGGGAGTGGAAACTTTTGAGGCTTGAGTTGAAATTGTGCAATGAGACCACTTCTACTGAAGAAAAAACATATCTATTGAGAGAGTTTCTCATTGAATAATGTGAACACAACAAGATGCTGGACCTTTCTTTTTAGTTGTCCATCACTACCATTGACTAATTTCTTCCTTCTTGCTGGTCCCTATTTAGGGGTCGACTAAGAATATATATATATATTATGTTTATTATTACAAATATAATATGACTGTGGATGGGATAAAATGAAATTTAAGACAACAGGCAAATAGAATAATGGGTAGATAGCTTACACCATAAAAGGAAATAGCTTCGTCACAAAGTACGTTATTGCCAAATTTTTCTACCAAGTCTCCAATGCATATGTGGGTATCCTCCATGGAATGGCGATCTCCAATATCAGACCACTCTCCAGACCGAAGAGTAGGAACAAAGTTCATCAGGTTCTGTTTCTTGTCCACAATTTCTGCATCCTCACATATGCTTTCCAGCTAAAAATGTAGCACAGAAGATAAATCCAAATGAGCTAAGAAGATAAGAGAACCTTGTGCAGTGAAATAAAGTTAACAAACAGAAGGTGCATAGAAACCTCTGGATAAACAAGAAAAGTAAGAGACAGAACCACAAATATAAATCTGAAATTGTATTCAGTGTCAATTTCAGCAGTTTGTAACTGTCATGTCTAAGAAGTGACAAACTCACGATTATGAACCAACAAATTGTTATTGTGCTAGCAAATAGATATCTTTCAGAAATACTAATCGTGATTTACACGCAAGAAATGCAAGCTGGATTGACAACACAATCAATTTCCACATTTAGGTTACCAAATCAATCTCCATCACTTGAGAGTTGAGACTAACTAATTTCCAACACAACCAATTCCAACATCAGACAACCTTCGACAATCACATCCGAGAGAATTTCAAGATCACGGAACCTTCAGAGGCCATATTTCACTAAGCAGGTTTTCTTCTTCAAAGATAAACAAGAAGACTCCGAAAACAGGATTAACAGCCATATGGGCAGACACAAACCAAAATCTAATTCAAAAAAGGACAACTAAAGAGAAATCCATGACTTCACAAAAGGTAAAAAAAAAAAAAAAAAAAGTTAACAAGATTCTTGAATAATAGCAATTAAGTACTATTGAAAGTGTGGCTACAGATTAAAACTACCTTAGAGTATAAGAAAACTAAAGATTAGAGAGAGAGAGAGAGAGAGAGCCCATAAAGGAACAGAAGAAAGAGAAAATGAGGGAAGGAAAAACTCACAGGAAATGAATTTGCAACACTGATCTGGTCAGAGGGAGTTCTAAAAGAAGAGTCTTTTTCCCTGTTATCCATGTGGGCATGCAAGAGATCACAATGCAAAGGCCATGGCATCCTTCTGTTATTATCAACGTTCTTCTCTATGTCTTCATCAACTTGCTCTCCATCTTGCACACACATGGTTACAACACTTGTGGCCAAGTGGCACCTTCAACTCAGCAACTGGCACTCACATTTGCAAGCATGGAAATTATGAAGAAAGAGTCACACTCGTACACAACTCCACATAATAAGAAACTTGATGGAATTTTGTTGCTTACACCACAGAGAGAGAAAGAGAGAAGATTCTTAGAATATGTTGGGACAATGATGGCGTTGTGTGTGTTTATATATATTAGTGTCAGCGGAAAGCAGTGTGAAAGGAGAGAAGAGGAGCCGTTAAGTCCCAGATTTTTCTATGAAAGCGTGGTCCAAAATTGTTGGTTGAGTTTATTAGGTGATTTTTATATAATAATGTTGTTGGTCACAAAATAACATGTCTTTTTCTCTGCTTACCTATCTTCTTGTCATCCCAACTAGTTTTCTTTTTTTATATTCATTTCCCTCTCTTTTCTGCCAAATAATAACACCCCATGAGAAAAATCTTGTGCGATATTTATACTTAAATTCCATCTCACTTTCTTTTTTTCCTCCCTAGCTCCTTGCATTAATTTGTGGCTTCTAACAATCACAAGTAGTGCTTAGTAGTTCAAACTAGGGATAGTTTCCATGAAAATAAGGGAACATAATTTCCATGGAAATAAGGTAAGTGGAGAGTTGGAATATTGACCATGGATTTTTTGAATGTCAACATTTTTTTAGTGTTATAGTTGAGTGATAGTTCATTTTTTATTGGTTTTCCTTTCTGATTCAGTTAAATCAATACATTTGTAAATTAGTTTCTTTTTATGGTGATATATATATATAT